CCCTTGCGGAAAAAAAAGAATTTGCTGAAACGGAACAAAAGATATCAAATTTCTACCAAGATAACTGGAAGTTCCAAGGCTCGAGAGAGTCCAGTGCCTTTACTTAAGTACTGCTACTGCTTCCAGCTCAGCTCTAAAGTACCCCGCAAGCCGTACATACGACTTTCATCAAATACGGCTTTCCGCAGAATTCTATATGTATCTACGAGATCGAGTATGGAATCGGAACCAACCACCACTGCATTGGGGCACCGAGACCAGGACAACGCATTCCTAACATTTCTTGACCGCAGAGGGCTCCCTGACAAGGGAATGGCCGCGACTGGGGTGAACTGCTATGGAGTAGTCCCAAAGGGGGCGTTTTTCTATATATAAAATGATAAATTATTGTATAATAATATTATGTATTTACTAAGTCGCTTCCAGCTTGACGAATTCTGGAAGAGTTCGCAGCTTCTTCTTCGTCTTGGTATCGGCCGGTGTGTTGTGTGTGTTTGTAGGGCATATAAAGTGGAGAGAAGAAGAAAGTGTAGAAAAAGGGTAGAGAGGATAGAGGTGAGTGATGTGAAGAGAAGGACCAAAAAAAAAACCGTTTAGAGCATAAAAACTGGAAACATAAATGACATTTTTTGTTTAACTAATATGCTTCCTATTAAGGTAAATAATATTTTAAAAAAGTAGAGAGTGTCATTTAATCCAACTAGTGTGGATTGTAACAAGGTATTAATCTACCGACCCAAAATCCCTGTCCCTTGCTGGGCCTAAAACCCGTAGCCCTTGTTTGCTTTTTGGGATGGGATTGGACTAATTTAGTCCAACTGGATAGGATTGTACTGTTGGGATTGGACTAATCCTATGTTTGTTATATATAATAAGGAGTAGGATAAGTTTAGATTAAAAATAAAAATAAAAATTGTGTAGATGGTGTAAAATACTTTTATACCCCTTTCTATTAAACCAAAAACCATTCTTCCCCAATTCTCCCACCACAAAAATCGAAACAGTTTTGGTGATGTCATTTTACACCCTTCTCTTGAGAAGCGGATTGAGCAGCTGGCAAGTGCAACAGCAAATACAAAAGCCCATCAGGCACCGTTCAGAAACATGCTCTTTTATGGGCCACCAGGAACAGAAAAAACCATGGCTGCTAGGAAGCTTGCCCGTAAATCTGTGTGACATCATAACCTTTTTCTTCTCATAGGACTTTAGTTAATATAATTGATTGGATAAATATTTGTCTGCATGCTTAGCAAAAGTATTTGGAAAAGCAAAAAATCCTATCTTGGGAAAATAATTGTTTCGTTTATGTTGAAGGATCCAAATAATGAATTATAGGGAAGGTCAAAACTGTCCAAAAATTATTAAAATAAGGGTAAATTCGACTTTAGTTCCGTAGGATTGGATTAATCCCATGTAAATGAAGGGATTAAATTATCCTGATTTCATGGGATAATTCACTTTTTTATACCGGGCCTAGCCAATCCTGCGGGCTTTAGTCCAGCGAACCAAACACAGGATTAGGCAGGATATCCTGGCTAATCCTACAAAACAAACAGGGGCGTAGTGAATAGGCTTAAAGCCCGGGAGGTTCAATGGGCTGTTGACCGGGCCCGTTGGCCGCATATAGCTTCATCCGACGACTGATTCCCAAATTCTATCCAGGCCGATAGCTACTTCCTTTAGATAACTTTTTTTTTGAGAAAATTTGTAACAGATGGAAGATCAGTTAATTATGGACAATATTTCCTTATAGCTATATTTGGTATCTAGATATTTGATTTGATATGTTTTCCATCTCTTGTAATCTCTATATATACTCTGTACTCTCTTCCTACAATCAATACACAAAAATCATCTTCTTTCTATTGTCATGTTCCCTCTTATGATTTTAGCATGGTATCAGAGCGGTGAATTTCGCCGCAGACCTCATACCTAAGAATTTTTCGCCAACATTATATATTTTTCATCATGACAACCAACACCGAATCTCAATCGAAATATAAAACCATCTCACCATACGATA